GACACCCCAATACCTCCTTCTTTGAAATAGGAAGCAGGTTTCTTCAAAGAAACAATTGGGAGAAGACTGGATCTTGGTGACAAAGCCGAGTCAGAAACTTTATCTGACTCATCCATAGCAGCAACTATTCCTAACCCAACAGCACCACCATTCTCCAAAGACCTAGGTGATTTGTTGGCAACTGAAAAGGTATCGGTTAATGTTGAAAACAAAGAAAGACTGATTCTTGGTCTCTTTTTCTCCATTTTCAGACCAAACTGAGACATGGGCAACCCTCAAATCTTGAATTCTTGAAAATTCAAGACAAGGGTTTGCTGTTATAAAGAGAGAAAGGGTTTTGGAGTATTCACAAGTGTAAATAACATGGAAGAGAGAATTTAACGGAGAGATATTAATTACAAAGTAAAAGAGATTCTAGAGAGAGAAATAAGTGCAAAATTTAGAGAATTGAAGTGCAAGAAAGACAGATTCTTCGAGGCTAAATTTGTGGGAGAGATTTTTTAGAGAGAAAGCAACAACTCTCTACTTACCTTGTCGAGAGACAGGCTTTAACGCCTGTGGTTTTCAGTGGAGAAGGGAATATAAACAGTGTGTTGCAATAATTATTTTGATTAAATTATAATCAATCATTATTATTATTTGTATATAATATACAACCTATTAGTAAGTGATTAAATGGGATAAATCAGTTTGTTTACATTTTTCTTGCACAATAGAATCTCTAATTTAACTTTTAAAAGAAAGCATCATGGTTTTTTCTGTTTTCTTTACCCCGGAGTCATCCAGATCTCAAAGTTATGTGTTTATCAAGTTATCCCATGTCATTTCGGATATATTTTTTTATATAAGGGAAAACTTAATCCAGCCTACATTTCACTTATCTAGCGTCTTATAGGAAAATTAGGCAAGTACAATCCCTTTTTTAGTGTTGCTAGCTGGATTTCCATTAATAGGAAATGGATAGTGAAATTTTCTCTTTGTTAATGATTTATTAGTGTCGGCCCAAGTTTATTGCATGACTTTTTTATTTTAAAAAATATTATTTTATTTTAAATTTTTTTTATACAATTAATCTCCTTATCAGATTTATCTTGATTAACCTATATAAATTTTTAATAATTTTAAGATTTGTAATATTTAAATTAATAATTTTTAAAAAATAAACTTATAATCTCGTCAATTCAACTACATCTCTTAAAATTATTTTTTATATAAATTTGATGATTTTTGTTATAAAAAAATATTATTTATTTAATTTATAGAGATCTTTTAAATTTTTAGTTTTGAGATTGATGAAGTGACTTTTTAACTAACTTTAAAATATTTTAAATTTTAATTTTGACATAAACTTGATAAAATCAACTTATTTATAACCTTTTTACAAAAAATTTCTTATATTTGAGTGCATGAATGGAAAAATATAAAAATCCATCTCAATGCCTTTCTTTGGTTTCAAATTCTAAGAACATGCCTCATGCACTTGGAGAAGCTTGCTTGAAAGAAAATACTCATTTGCTCCTATAAATTGTTAAAAAATAATAACTAAAGTTATTTTCTTAACCTTATTTATAGTAGTTAGAATAATTTTTTAATACAATATCATAATTTTAGCCAAGTAATTAATGGTTTTAATCTCTCAACTTTATTTTATTTAATTAAATTAATAAACAATTAATATAAAATAATGATAAGTCTATATAAATTTTAAACCTAATTTTTTTTATTTTAAAATATATATTAAAGATTTAAAAAGTATTATTTTGTAATACATCATAGATTTAACTAAGATTAAGAAATTAGAGCCACATGACACATAGTCTAATACATTTTATAGGTTTATTAAAAAATTATCAATAATAACTTGAGTAATGATAGATTTTTTATTTGCTAATATACACACACATCAATGAATAATTGGTCTAATATATTTATAAAGATAAAAATAAAAGTTCAATTTTCAAAAAACATATTTATTAAAAGAGATAATTATAAACCCTAAACAGAACTAATCTCATCTTTTAAAAAGAAATAAAAATATCCAAATAAAAATAAAAAAAACACTCAAGCGAGGATTTTCATGTACCTTTCCAAAGCAGGTGATAAACATTACTAAATAAAGTGTGAAATCTTATATATATACTTACTTTTGTTAATGGAGTTCAGGACATTACTTTTAACAAACACAAAGTTACTAAAATTAATATATAGAAGAAACAATCTAACTCATCTTCAAAACAGTTAGATTATCAAATAAATATGACTTTAATTTTTAATATATATTTTAACCTACTCCCTTAACCCCTTTCACCGCTTCTGTGAAGAAAATTTAATCCATAATTAATAATTTGATACTAGTCTAAATTATTTTATCAATTGAATTAACTAAGAAACTCATTGGTACTGGTTTACAAGCAAGATATTTATTGATGATATTTCTAGAAAATTTAAATAGATAAGAAATAAGATTTATATGTTTGATAATTAATTTTAATAATTTGATTTATTTTTTTTAATTAAGACAATTAATAGTTGATACTTAGTAAGTAAGTCAAGATGACTTATATCTGTAAAAGATTTATTTTGATAAATTTAAAAACTTTGTACTATATTTATAAATAAAAAAATAATAATATATTCTAAAGAGATATTCTGAAAATATATATGCATTAAAGAATAAAAATTGTGAACTTAATAATTGAAGAATTATGAGATATTTATAAATTATAAATCTTCTTTTATTATGTGGTGAAACGATCAAATATTTATTTATTTTTTATAACATTAATAAATAATAAATATCTTTTATATATATATATTAATAAAAAATAAATATAATGTACATAAATATTAATGGAATGAAGATATAATAGCTTATTAAGAGAATTTTTTCATACTTAGTGGTGCAGCGAGAAAGATCAAAAAATTCCAAAAAACTTTGGTCAATAACCATGAGGGCTGAACTTTTCTTTTAGATTAGATCCACATATATTGCTAAAGATGATGGTTTTTTAGGATTTTTTTAAACCAGTTAAATTTGAGTCAAACCAGTTAATTTTGTTGATCATTTTATTATTAATGGAGTCTTCGAAAAATTCATCATTTCTGATACTCCTAATATATCATATGCATATTTGTACGTGTTAACAATGCAATATTCATCACCAAGATGTCAGCTTTCCTACACATCACTCATCAGAAACTGTAACAAGAAACAGAGAGTCCACCATTTACTCATTGATAAATTACAAAGAGCAAGAAAGCCTTGATATTAATTAATTAATTAATTAACAATAAATACTTTAATGAGATACTCCATTGTTGATCACTTGTAAATGCTAAGATCTTCTTAGTCAATGCATAGTCAGTGCTGCACCCTTGCCATGAGAAGCTCTTTCATTTTCTGTGCTCTGTTTTTCCTTGTTTTCTCAAATGGTGCGTTGGCTTACCTTCTCTCCTTTACTTGTTTTTCATTTGTCTAAAGAAAAAAACAAGTCTTTTTTTTTATGCCATCCTTACTTGTTGTTGTGAAAGTAACATTTGCAAGTGTGAATTAAAAGAAGAATATTTTTGTGTTCTTGAATACTTGATTGCTAACATCATTCATTTGGATTTTGGGGAATTCTTGATTGTATCATTCCAATTATCTGTTTTTTTCTTTCTTCTTGTTATCATACAGTACTTTAGGTATTATGGATTAATTTTCCTTGCCAAAATTAAATCCTTCATAATTGTATTAAACATAGAATTCCAACATATATTTTTATGAAGTAATCAAAATTCATGATCAGTTGAGTTCTTCGAGAACTTTTGACTTTTTTCATCAGGTTTCATCACTGGCTATCTCTTGCTTTGGAAAGGGTGGTCAACTTGATTTGATGGAGGATACTTTGAAGAAGATGGTCTCAAAGGGTCTCCGGGTAGACTCTGCCACTGGGAATGCTTTTGTTATGTATTATCGTCTTCATGGTTCTTTGGCAGAGATGGAAGCTGCCTGAGATCGCCTTAAAAGGTCTAGGTCTAGACTCCTCATAGAGAAAAGGAATTAGAGTAATGCCGTTTGCATATATAATGGAAATAAAATTTTACAGGCTAGGGAGTTCCTAAGGTGAACACTCGGGAAAAATGAAGACTCTTGCAGAGGGAATTTCTGAAGATGTTGGAAGCTGGTTTTCATCCCGATCTTACTACATTTAATGTACAAGCCATGGCTTTTCAAGAATGTCTTGTTGTGGGATCTCCATCTAGGCCTTGAGCATATGAAACATGATAAGGTTGCTCCTTATCTTGTGACTTGTGGTTATGTCATTGATGCATCAGGAGCATGATGCATTTGGATAATTCTCCAAAGTTACTAACAGATCCTTTATTGTTTGTGTTTTGGGGAATGTGGGTTTCCATTCAAGTTCAGAGGCATTTATGGAGTTTGATAGGCAGCGGAAGTGGAATTACAGAGAGAGTTCATTAAAATACATACCAGGAAACTACACGAGTAAACATATCTTTTGGAAATACTGCCTATTGGCCTTATGTTACTGTGTAAAATCTTGATCGGTTTGACTGAAACTTGAAGTATGCTCATATATAGAATTCTTTTAGATTCTTAGAGTTTGGAGTCAACATGAAACCTTGACCTATTACTTTGCCTTTTGGTAGAGATGGTGGTGATTTTCCCCATATATGTTTATTCTGCTTGATAGCAATGCAATGTCTGGTGACTTGAGTTAATTGTCCAAAAGGTGTCCCCTATCATCTTAAATCCTAGAATGTTTGTCAAATCCTTCTGATCTAGTGGTGGTGACCCTTGGAGGCTGAAGGTGGAATTGGAAATGGTTGAGATATAACTGATCAGTTTCAATTGTAAATACTCGAGAAATCTGAATATGCTGTTGGATTTGGCTATACCGGGTTGAACACTCTCTTAACTAGAAACCATGCCACCATTAAATCAAGTTTAGTTTTCCAAGAGCTACAAAAGAATGCAAAACAAGCTTCAGGTAATGTTGAATGCCAAATACATCTATCTATCTTCGCTACAACAAAGTGTTTTTCAATCGTCCTTCATCTTCTTCCTCTAGATGGTGTGCTTGGGTGGCTTCTTGAGCTATCATATCCAGATTGTAGTTCGCTGTGATCACATCCTGGCAACAGATCAGAAACAATTGAATTGTAAAGCTTGCAGAAGTTGTAACTTGTAAGATCTACGAGTTGCTATGAAATTAGTAAATGTTATCCTAGGAAAAATTGAAGTTTGCACAAGCAGGTTTTTTGCCGTTGGAGTTAAAAAAAAATGGAAGCACGTAAAACTCACTTGAACTGAGGAAAATTGGCTGTGATAAGGGGAGCTTCCTGTGCTGCCCCCAGGCATGACGCTAGGCATGTTTTCCTCAGCAAGTTCTCTCAATCTGTTAAGCTCAGGTAGTATGACCGCTCCGAGATCTGGTCTATCTTTCCGCCTCAGTTCTGCACAACGAAGAGATAACTTGGCAAAGTTCATGGCTTCCTCAATGGGCCAATCTAGAACGGCTGGGTCAAGCATCTCTGCAAAAGTTCCTTTCTCAATGGCCCTCTCAACATGATGAGTTAAACCCATAGGTGGCTTGGCTGTTATTATTTGTAGAAGCAGGATACCAAGTGAATAAATATCGGATTTTATCCCTAGCATTCCTGTCTGCTGATATTCTGGGTCAATGTAACAGAATGTTCCAGCTGTTGATGTCATGCGATATTGAGTAACAGTATTGGCTATTGATGGAGGGACAAGCCTGGCCAAGCCAACATCACTAATCTTACTGACGTAGTTGCGGTCAAGCAAAATGTTGCCTGGTTTTAGGTCGCGGTGCACAAGTGGTTCTGGCTTGGTTTGATGGAGGAAAAGAAGGCCAGTGCCAATTTCTGCAGCAATCCGGAATCTTAATTGCCAAGAAAGAGGTGGACTATTTCCTCGGTGGAACAGGCAGTCTTCCAAGCTTCCGTTAGCCATGTACTCATAGACTAAGCAGCCATACTCTGGGCAGGCTCCAAGGAGGAGAACCATGTTTGGATGCCTTATGCAGGATAATACTTCAACCTGCATAAGAGTTGTCAGAAATTCAGAATACACCTAAGAACAGATGGTTCAATAGGAAAAAAAAAAAAAAAAAAAAAAAAACAGAGAGAAGACAAAAAAAGGGCAGGGCCATTACCCTGGATTTTGTCTAGTTTTCTTCCTAGAGCAAAAAAGATAAAAAAAAAAAAACTCGAGTTTGGGAAACTTAAATTCAATACTTGTGGCTCAACTTTTATGAGCTGAAGGCGATGGATTAGCTCAAAATATTGTCAGACTTATTTGTTGCAGGAGAACTAGTGGCTAAATAAATATGATTTACTTTTTAAGTCGGCTCTTTGGCATTTGAAAAATCACTTGGTTTGATTACGTTTCTGAAGAAAAGTGTGAATGCTACTAGTTCCTCGTTTCAAAACCTCATATTAAATGATTCCCTTCACACTTCTGCTAAGATACTAGTGATCATTTTTAATTTAGTTTTATTAGTTTAATTTCCATAAAGTTATGATGGATGTATTTAAGTTTATGTTTATTTACTCATTTATTTTTGGTTGATGGACAGAGCTCCAAACCTCTTGCTGAAACTGTGACCTTCCATGAGCTGCATCAGGACGTAAAACTTTAATGGCCACTGGTGTATGATCCAGATAGGACTTGTAAACAGGCCCATAACCTCCTTCTCCAATCTTGAGTGAGTTTGAAAACTCATCTGTTGCTGCTTCAATCTCCTCAATCGTGTATTTTCGATATCGAAGATCACTGTTGGCAATGGACGCTAGTGCCTTATTCCTCTCCTGGAATTCCTTTTGAGCTATCATTTCTGCATTAAGTCTTTTTTGTAATTCCAATTCGGCGATCCTTTGAGATGATTCAGCTGCCTCAATGGCTGCTTTACACTTAAATCTCTCCTTTGCTACAAGTTGCAATGCAGCTTCCTCTGCTAATCGCGCGCCTTCTGATCTCTGTTGTTCTTCCAATTTCCAATGATGAAGTTCCCTGGCCTGTAATGAAATTTCATCAGAATTCAATCAAATTGCAGCTCAACTCCAGGTTTCAATTTCAATTCAATGTTTCCATTGGTGCTTTTGTTTGGAGATTTTGGATATTGTGAGCTATTTGTTTATTTTGACTTTCAAGTTTGAGTAACACATAATGAGCTTCCAGTCTGAAGAGAATGAAAAGAGAGCTTGAATGATGGAACGCCCTCTAAATATATTTTTAAATATAGTGATAAATTCATTATGAAAGATGGACTTTTGTACCATAGAATTAACAAATTTAGACTCTTGTCAAAGAAGGATTGAACTGTGAGTACCTTCTGTTTTGCTGTGAGTGCTTCTCTGCAGGCTGAGCTATACATGTCCATTGTTTGCTTGAGCTCTAGTCTGAGTCTCCGCATCTCAGCTTCCATGTCGTCCTATAAATTTTGAATGAAGCATGCATTATATTTCTGTTTTCTGTCTACTCTAATGTGAATCATTCTAAGTTGAGTGTATGAAGCATGCATTGTATTTCTGTTTTCTGTCTACTCTAATGTGAATCATTCTAAGTTGAGTGTATGAAGCATGCATTGTATTTCTGTTTTCTGTCTACTCTAATGTAAATCATTCTAAGTTACATGAGTGTATGAAGCATGCATTATATTTCTGTTTTCTGTCTACTCTAATGTGAATCATTCTAAGTTACATGAGTGTATGAAGCATGCATTATATTTCTGTTTTCTGTCTACTCTAATGTGAATCATTCTAAGTTACATGAGTGTATGCCTCACTTTTGCCCTAATGTTTATTGTTTGTCTCCCTGTCAACCTGCCTTCTTCCCATGATTCACAGAACTTTTGGTTGTTATGAATGATTATGTTTCTATAGGTAATCATATGACTGCTAATGGAACGTTACTTCTTTTGAAAATGTATGGAAAAACAAATGTAAAAGCATTATAAAGGAAAGATGATGGGCATGGAGAGAAAATTATTAACTTCTGGGAGAAATCTACTGGGAAAAGCCAACCAGAACCTGCCCCTTGATTGTCAGGAAACACACAGTTCAATCAGGATCACACACATATCGATGCATGTTGGTGGGTGTTTATGCATGCATTAACTGTGCCTTCTCTGGGAATTTATGTTGTTACCATGTTCTGTGAAGACGACCATGATGTATTGCCACTTTCTTGTGAGGTTGATGAGAAATTATACTGTGAACTTGCATCTATTGATTTGTTTCCTGAGTACAATGACCCAAAGGATCTATATTCATAATCCGAGCCATTTGAAAGCCGAGGTGTCATTCCAGTTTCGAAAGCATTTGAAAGCCGAGGTGTCATTCCAGTTTCAAAAGCATCGTAGATAGCAGGAAATGTGTGATCGATGCTTGGCCTTCCACTGCTTACAAATGATATGTCAGAATCTGGAATGGAGGGCTCATATTTGGCGATTCCACCTCTTCTAGTGAATGGTGACCTGTTTCGGTGGTTATCAGGTTAGTCCTCTCATTGAATATCATGATATTCTCTAATTAGAAATTGCCATCATCTTCAAATTTTCGTTCCTTAAAGAACTGCTGGTGCTTTATGAGCCTCGTTATCAGTGCTGCATCAAGATGGCAGCCACTGATATGAGGCAGCCACATGACCATGGATGCCATGTTGTTGTGAGAAACATTATGGTTTTGCTTTGACTTGCCTCTAAAGTTGGTGTTGGAAAGCAGTACTGCCGGGACTAGTGATAACAGTGAAGCGACCAAAAAATAGAAGAAAAAAAAGGGTTTGTATCATAGAAAAAGTTGCTAATAGATTTAAGATGTCAAGCTGAAAGTTCCTTGTCAAGCATTGAAAAGAGAAGTGTCAAATCGTGTAAAGTTCAAAGAAACCAGTATAATTCAATAAGAACATAGAACTGCCTGCCATTGTAACTGGGAGAGAATGAGAAGAAGCTTCTATCCGTTTAGACTTTAAATTATATGATTAACCTGTAGCACCATGGATTATTGATGGTCATTAGTATTTTACACCTATACACCTCAGAGAAGTTTATCTGTCGAACGTACTTGATTTCCATATCTTCTTGAAGGCCTTGCAGGGTATATGGTGACCTCTCTCGTACTGTAAAAGATCGATACACCTCTAATGAGAAACGACAAAGCCATATAAAGTGGTGTAAAGAACAAAATGCTTATTAGAGAGGCAGACCTCTGGGAGCTAGGCTAGACTTGAAAGGGGTTTCAACTGTATCAGACATGTTGCTGGCAGTGCTCTGCATTTGAGTTTGAATGGGGTGTTTTGGAGGTGGTGGACCACTAGCAGATCGCACCGATGAGATCTTTCCTTTGCTGATGACATATACAGAACAGAAGCCTGGCGCTCCTTTGGACACATTACCTGGAACATCTGTGGTCTTGAATTTTCTGTGGGGAAGAAAAACATAATTGGTATGACATCAAAATTCATTATATCTTAGAGGATGAGATATGGCATGGTATGAAAGCAGATGGAAATCTGAAGTTGCTTGAACCTTATAAACAGAATTAGATGGAACATTGTCCTGGCAGTTATCCATCTATATCTTGGTTTGTTCCAGATTTGAGAAATCTCAAAACCAAACCAACAATTGCAAGCTCTATGTATCAACTTAGCCCAGGGAATTAGACTTATTGTCTTAATCTAATGTCTATTTGTCCTGTAAATAAATATTTCTTTAGGTAGCAAAGAGAATCTGAGTTATGATCAGCTAGCCCTACATAAATGCTTTACCTGACAAGGCCTCCCTTCGATGATGAGCCAAGTATCAAAATCTCAATTGCATTTGTGGTAACGTATTCTATTATTCCTTTGGCAACGTCCATTTTCTCCACGACAACTTCGTTGCATTTTATCTGCATCAAACGTCAACGGTGAGATTGAAGGATAAAAACCCAGTAATCTCCATCGCTAAATTAGTGTAGCACGTGAAAATTTAATTACATAACCAAACATTAACCAAATGAAATGGGGATTTGATATGGAAAAAGGGAGCAGAAATTACCTCCTTTCTTGTGCAGAAGCAACGAAATGGAAGGAACAACGATTTGGCTTGGTTGGTAATTTGTTTGCTATATATTTTCGCAACGTCGTCATTGACCTCATTGATGGAGACTTGGTTTCCACCTGCAACCACAAAGAAAATTGGTACGGTGGTGAATGTGATGCCTAAACATTCCATCTCAAGATTTTATTACGAGCAACCAATATCAAGCGAAAGTTGAAAAGATTTTTGATATTAGAACTGCTAGCTTAAATCGAAATTGTTGCATCTGAACTATGTGATGGATTTTATGATGTTTTGATTCGTATATACGTGCATTGCATGCAAGTTCTAGACGACAAACAATGACTGATAATGATTATTATCATTCAAGCCAGCACGGATTATCAGATCATCATCATCATCATCATCATTAAGACATGAAGAAGAGGAGGCACACATGGGGTGGGGATGGATGATGGGTTTTGTTTAATATGCAGAAGCGTAAGAGCCTGTCCCCTGGTGAGAAGATGATCAACAGTCCACTTGAGAGCATGTTGGCTGCTTTTATCCTTGTCTATGGCAACTGCTACGCTGTTTTCTTTCTTTTCTCCATGCCTTCTAGCCATCTATGTCTCTCTTGTGAAAATCGAAACAGCTTCAGCTCAGAAAATACGAGAACAAAACAAACAAAACTTCAATGATAGCCCCTTCTGGTTTCCTTGAAATATGCTTTAAGACCATACCAAATATCATCATCGCCTTGATAGTCAAAGAAAATGAGTTGGTGACCTCCCAAAATTAGCAAATAATACCAGCCTTTAAAGACTAGTCTTAAGTTAGTTATAGAATTTAGATTAACCAACTTTCCCAAGGATTTTTACGTAGGATCTCTTTAATTAACAAATATATATTATGAAAATTAGTGATGATGTACATCATGATTGAATGAACAGCCCAAGAACACACTAAATTTTATCATTTCTCCTTGAGAAGGGAGGAAGATGATGAGCCCTTGTTTGGATAGGTTCGCCTTATCCTGATTATATGCAAAGCAATATTCTTTCTTTTTCCTAATATTAGTGATTTACATGAATGAGAGAGGAGCAATCATATTAAGGTGTCATATGCATTAATATGTGATTTGTATGTTTTCCTATATATAATCGGCCTTGTTTTCCTTTTTACCTCTAAAACAAAAATAAATAGGTTGCTAATACAAGCCAAACAATTCACAAAATTAAAATTATTTATATAAAAAAAAATCTCCAAAGAAACAACCTAATGATTTAAATTATTATTATTTTAATTAGCGACCTAACTAATCATGGGATAAACAGGCTGGAAGTGTTTGCACCTGACAAGAGTTAGAACCTGGAATCTTGGAAAATAGCGTGCTGCCAATTCTCAGGCCTTCCCTCTTAGGCGAACTCCATGGGATTCTAATGATTTAAACTGGATATTTCTATTTGGAGGATTTAGATTCAAACCTTGTGATGAGATATATATTTTCTTATTTAAAGAGAATGGATCACCTACTTAATTTCCAGTATCACCAAAACAATGGAGCCCAATGAACATTCACTAAAAGGCTTGGAAGCAACTGGATTTTATTTCTTTATTCTGCTGTGAAATTGGCTCCAAAAATCTCAACCAAACCTTTCTTCCTCTCATTATAGATTTTCCAAAACAAAAAAAAAAGAAAAGAAAAGAAATCTGTGCATCCAACCAAGAACTCAAAAAAAGAAAAAACAATGAACATTGTGGGTCCTAAAAGCATAAATTCACAAGTAAGACCAAAGGACATGACCAGATTCTGATCTGATGCTATCCTGTCCGCATGTCAATCTTAGAGAAAACAATAACTCCCACCAGTTCGTCTAGTAGCTCATGAACTAAGGGAATGGGAAACTTGTCATGAAATTTACTGCCTGCATCCTCCACCTGAAATCCTTACATGGAGAAGAACAAATCATTGTCCCTCCATTTACTGCTTCAACAGTCGAAGGCTTGATGGCTGTAAGCTCACACTGAAGTATTAAAATGGGTTTCTGAAATACTTAAAGAGAAGTAGATATATGGTTTTTTTTTAATTATTTTTTTGACCTTTGGGATTCTTGGGTTAATTTTAACTGTTCTTTAAGATAATCGGGTCTAATTATAATGAAAAATTTGGAATTGGTGGTCAATAAAAATGGCTGAAAAAAATGAGAGACAACATGAAGGAGAACAATCAGTGGTGGGATGAAATTATAATGCCTGCAAACAAAAAGCCACTGCATGAAAATCATAAAGAAGATGGTAAAATCACTAAACTAGAAAACACTAATGCAATCAAGGTACAACATTTATCTTTAATTTTCCACTTTGTTCACTTCCATGAAAATTTGGATCAAAATCGAAGTTAGATTGTAACGTGTTCCATTCTGCCTAGCTATTGTATTGACCTTAACTTGGGATGAATTCTGTTTCCTAGGATGTATTCAAAAATTTGATATTGGACTATCGGTTTGATGGAAAGTGATGCAGTGATAGATTGTGAAGAATTTGTGACGACGGAGAAAACTAGGGAATGCTTGATGATGCATGTAACAACTTGACTCAACATGTTGTATATTATCTGTTTTGGGTCTTACCGTCCTCATAGTTTTGTTCGGTTTTGTTCTTGGTTATGTAAATTCATTTATAAATCTAACGCCCTAAAACGCGTATAATATATTAGCAACCAACACTACTAATAAGACTAGCTACCAAACGGTCCTGTTAGCACAACCAGACAACCAGTGAGGTTGGTTATGATACCAAATATAATAGTCCGGCCTAACATGTTGTATATTGTTTTTTTTTTTACCTTACTACCCTCACAGTTTAGTTCTTGATGATACGAGCCCATTTCTGAGTCTAACGCCTCAAAATACGTACAACATGTTAGTAACCAACATTACTAACTAATAAGGCTAGCTACCAAATCTTTACCCGTCAATATAAGATATTATAATACATTGCAAATGTCCTTGTGGAAAAGGCTATCAGATTCTTTTCCCTAGAAGAAATTGTTACTGCAAACTTATGTAGATCGTGAAAGAATATTGGTCCAAATTAAATCCTGATATCAAGTATTAATATATTTCTTTATTTGTACTAATTGTTTATTCTTTAGGTTTTCCATCTTTATATATTGCAAGATTTTTTGAGTTGTAGTGCTAACCCTTTATATATAGTCATAAGTTTCTTTTCCTGAGAAGTTTAGCGTAACGGAGAGTAGATGTTGTATGAACCTTGTTGGAATTTATAAATATATTTGTTAATCAAAGAATTTTTCTGCTTCAAGCGTTTTTACATTTTTGAATTGAGTTCGTTTCTTTTTTCATTTTTAAAGCCACACGTAATATGTTTTTGTTGTAGTTAGATTGAAAATGTGTGATGACTGTGATATTCACACCTTCTTCACTGCAATGCAAGTCTCATAAGATGTTATGTTTGGAAAAGAAAACCATGTTTGAAACACTAAAATTTGCAAGTAGCCTTAAGACTTGACAGATATTCAGTAAAATTATTTTACAGGAGAGTAGAAGAAATCCAAGCATATTACAATAATTAGAGAACACAGTTACACATTCCTTTCACGCTTCTAAGCTGCTTTGTTTGCAGCTTTGGCCTTTGCTTTTTCCCACTCCATTATCTTCAATGTAGTTTCCTCGATTAGAAGAGCTTCTCGTATTCTTTTTTCCTCTCTCGTTTTCCATTGTTCAAGTTCCATTGCCTGTAATGAACATTAGAGCTTATTAAATCTATGGCATTAGGTGGGGTAGAATCACTTATGTTATGTGTGTGGACACAAATGGACGGTGGCAGCCATGGTAGGTGGCAGCCATGTTTGGTGGCAGCCATGGTTGGTGGCAACCATGGTTGAAATTATAGTCAAATGGTAGGTGCCTAACTTGCCCACCATTGTTGAACAATCATCGCCCTCCTCAGCTATAAATAGAAGATGGATTGATAGCTAAGATAGACCACGAGATAGAGAGAAACACAGAGAGAGAGCTAAGGGCGAGAGTTGAGTTGAGAAGTTTTCTCCTGCTCCTTGTTTTGTTGTTTGTATTGCTTTTGAGCTTGATTAATAAAAACCAGTAGCTCCGTGGAGTAGGCAAGTTGCCGAACCACGTAAATTTGTGTGTGTTTGAATGTTTGGATCTCCTAACAACTGGTATCAGAGCTTGTTCTTGAAAGTTCTTGAAAAAAGAGGGTGTTTGATCCAAACTCAAAAATCAAAGTTCTCAAAACGTGTTTTTGAACATACCACCGTGAAGAGGACGACGAGAGGAATCCACTGGTGAAAACCCGGCGAAAATCCGACGTCCTGCATGCCCGCACGCGCCTGCACGCGCCACCACCAGTACTGTCCACGCGCACAGACGCGCCATACGCGTTTCACGCGTCTTCCTCGCCGTTTCCTGCAAATTGACACTGCCACGTCAGACGCCACGTCAGCCGTCCGGCACAGTCAGCAGCCACGCACCCTGCCACATCAGCATTTTGACCGGTCAACCCGCCACGTCATCTGCCACGTCAGCGGACACGTCATCACTGCCACGTCAGCAGAAAATCTCCTCGGATCTGCCACGTCAAATTGGGGGTGGACCCCATATTGCCTACGTGTCTGCCACGTCAGCATAACTGGGTTTTGATCCGGTGTGGCGCAGCGACTATTCCTCCTGCCACGTGGCTTCATCTGCAGCGTCCAGTTATCTCAAGTTTTGATTGTTTAAATCGGAGCCATCCGAAGTCCGATTTGGGTGATCTCAGTGTCGTTTCCAGCATTTTTGGCCATTCCGGACACATCTGTAAGGTCAGATTTTTGAGATTCAATTCCGAGAAAGAGTAAAAATGGCTGATGAAATAAAGGCTGCAGGAATTGAAAAATTTGATGGTACTGATTTTGGATATTGGAAAATGCAAATTGAAGATTATCTATATGGGAAGAAACTTCATCTTCCTCTGTTGGGGAGCAAGCCAGAAAACATGTCAGAAGAAGATTGGCAAATACTTGATAGACAAGTCTTGGGCATTATCCGGCTATCATTGTCAAGAAGAGTTGCTCATAATGTTACAAAAGAGAAATCCACAGCAAGATTGATGGAAGCCTTGTCTGGGATGTATGAGAAGCCATCAGCAAATAACAAAGTGCACTTGATGAAGAAGCTGTTCAACCTGAAGATGACAGAAAGCACCTCTGTTACACAACATCTTAATAATTTCAACACCATCACAAATCAATTGTCATCCGTTGAAATTGAGTTTGATGATGAGATCCGAGCACTTATTTTGCTAGCTTCACTTCCAAGCAGTTGGGAAGGTATGAGAACAGCCGTAAGCAACTCAGCTGGAAAATCCAAATTAAAATATGATGATATCCGAGACCTGATTTTAGCTGAAGAAGTACGAAGAAAAGACTTGGGTGAAAGCTCAAGTTCAGGTTCAGCTTTCAACATCAACACTCGAGGAAGGAGACAAGACAGAGGCTTATCCAGAGGCAGATCAAAATCCAGGTACAGAAGCAAAAGCAAGTTTGGACCCAGGAAGCAGGTTGAATGTTGGAATTGTGGCAAACCTGGCCATTTTATGAGGAGTTGCACAAAACCAAAGAAACCTGAAGTTGATTCTGCAAACGCCACTACAGACGAGGTACAAGATGCTTTGATTCTTGCTGTACATAGTCCTATTGATGATTGGGTTCTTGATTCTGGAGCTTCATTTCACTGTACTCCACACCATGAAATGATGCAAAATTACACTGCTGGAAATTATGGGGTAGTCTATCTGGCCGATGGACAACCATTGGAGATTGTGGGTATAGGAGATGTGCAAATCAAGACAATGAATGGATCTACATGGAACTTGCAAAATGTAAGGCATGTTCCTGAACTAAAGAAGAAGTTGATCTCGGTCGGACAACTTGATGATAGTGGTCATTCAATCCTTTTCTCTAGAGGAATGTGGAAGGTATCAAAGGGAGCAATGGTTTTGGCTCGTGGAAAGAAAACCGGCACCCTGTATATGACCACAAGATCAGCAGATATAATTGCCTCTACTGAAGCAGATAATCAGGCGCAGCTATGGCATTGCAGACTCGGCCATATGAGTCAAAAGGGGATGAAGATACTTCAGTCAAAGGGAAAGCTGCCAGAATTAAAAAATGTTGATCTAGACATTTGTGAAAGCTGTGTTCTCGGAAAACAGAAGAAGCTCAGTTTCTTAAAGGTTGGCAGGACCTTAAGACCAAGAAAACTAGAACTGGTGCACACAGATTTATGGGGACCAGCTCCAGTAGCATCTCTTGGCGGTTCTCGGTACTATGTCACTTTTATTGATGACTTTAGCAGAAAGGTATGGGTCTACTTTCTGAAAAATAAATCTGATGTGTTTGACACGTTCAAGAAATGGAAGGCTATGGTTGAGACTGAATCAGGTTTGAAGCTGAAATGCTTACGATCTGATAATGGAGGAGAATACATTGATGGAGGTTTCAAGGAGTATTGCGCTGTCAACGGTATCAGAATGGAAAAGACAGTTCCAGGCACACCACAACAGAATGGTATTGCTGAACGGATGAACCGGACCATCAATGAACGAGCTAGAAGCATGAGGTTGCATTCTGGGCTACCTCAAACATTCTGGGCTGATGCAGTTCATACTGCAGTTTACTTGATCAACCGTGGACCATCAGTACCTTTGGAGTTCAGACTGCCCGAGGAAGTCTGGAGAGGAAAAGAAGTACAGCTTGCTCACCTAAAAGTCTTTGGGTGTGTTTCCTATGTGCATGTAGACTCTGATGCTCGCAACAAGCTGGATGCCAAATCAAAGAAATGTTTCTTTATTGGCTATGGAGATGAAGAATTTGGATTTCGGTTCTGGGATGATCAAAACAGGAAGATTATCAGAAGCAGGAACGTGATCTTCAACGAGAAAGTTTTGTACAAAGACAAATCAAGTACAGAACTAGAGATAACTGATTCAGATACGAGTTCACAGAAATCTGAATTCATACAATTAGAAGGACTTCCTGATGTTACCACTCAAGAGTCCACACAAGATAGTTCAAGCACTTCAGTACCCACCACTTCTACACAAGATAGTGCAGAGCCAAGTGAACCAGCTGTTCGCAGGTCTTCAAGGACTATAAAGCCTCCACAACGGTTCACACTTCTACTGAATTATATCTTGCTGACCGATGGTGGTGAACCATTAAATTATGAAGAATCCTTACAAGATGGAAACTCGAGCAAGTGGGAGTTAGCCATGAAGGATGAGATGGAGTCATTGCTGAAGAACAAGACTTGGGAGTTAACCAAACTGCCTGAAGGAAAGAAGGCCCTACAAAACAAGTGGGTTTACAGAGTAAAGACCGAGCATGACGGAAGCAAACGGTTCAAAGCAAGACTTGTTGTAAAAGGGTTTCAGCAAAAGAAGGGGATCGACTATTCTGAGATATTTTCTCCAGTTGTGAAGCTTACAACAATCAGAGTTGTTCTGGGGATAGTAGCTGCAGAAAATTTACATCTTGAACAATTAGATGTAAAAACAGCATTTCTTCATGGAGAATTGGAGGAAGACATTTACATGCAACAACCAGAGGGGTTTGCAATACCAGGAAAGGAGAGTCAAGTTTGCAAACTAAAGAAGAGTCTATATGGTTTGAAGCAAGCTCCAAGACAGTGGTACAAGAAGTTTGATAACTTCATGTGTAGTACGGGATACACAAAATGTCAGGCTGATCATTGTTGCTATGTCAAACATTTTGACAACTCCTATATCATTCTACTGTTATATGTGGATGATATGTTAATTGCAGGTTCTAGCATGGAAGAGATTGACAAGCTAAAGCAACAGTTGTCAAAACAGTTTGAAATGAAGGATCTGGGAGCTGCTAAACAAATACTTGGCATGAGAATCATCAGAGACAAAGACAAAGGCATACTAAAGCTTTCACAGGCAGAGTATGTCAAGAAGGTTCTCAGCAGGTTTAGTATGGATAATGTTAAGCCAGTATGTACACCTCTGGGGAATCATTTCAAGCTCAGTAAAGACCAGTCACCAAAAACTGAGCTAGAACGTGGATACATGGACCAGATCCCATACGCCTCAGCTATCGGCTCCTTGATGTATGCCATGGTCTGTACTAGACCAGATATTGCCCATGCAGTGGGAGTTGTAAGCCGATATATGAGCAATCCTGGAAAGCAACATTGGGAGGCAGTGAAATGGATCATGAGGTACTTAAAAGGCTCATCGGAGACATGTCTTATTTTCACAACTGGCGGTTTGAAACTTGAAGGCTTTGTAGATGCTGATCTAGCAGGAGATGTTGATAGCAGAAAGAGTACTACAGGTTATATATACACTCTAGGAGGCACTGCTGTTTCTTGGAGTTCTACCTTGCAAAAGATAGTTGCTCTTTCAACGACAGAAGCTGAATATGTCGCAGTTTCAGAATCCGCAAAAGAGATAGTATGGCTACAGAGTTTCCTGCAAGAATTGGGCAAGATGCATGGAAAAGGTACTTTGTATAGTGACAGTCAGAGTGCAATCTTCCTTGCCAAGAATCCAGCATTTCACTCCAGAACAAAGCACATACAGATCAAATATCACTTCATCAGGCAATTGCTTGACGATGAACAACTGTTACTTGAAAAGATCTGTGGAAGCAAGAATCCAGCCGACATGTTAACCAAAGGAGTTACTCTCGATAAACTGAAGCTGTGTAAAGCTTCAGTGGGTCTTGAAGATTAAAAGACAGACCTAACACCATTTGTGTCCAAGTGGGAGATTGTTATGTGTGTGGACACAAATGGACGGTGGCAGCCATGTTTGGTGGCAGCCAGGGTGGGTGGCAGCCATGGTTGGTGGCAGCCATGGGTGAAATTATAGTCAAATGGTAGGTGCCTACCTTGCCCCCCATTGTTGAACAATCATCTCCCTCTTCAGCTATAAATAGAAGATGTATTGATAGCTGAGATAGACCACGAGATAGAGAGACACACAGAGAGAGAGCTAAGGGTGAGAGTTGAGGTGAGTTGAGAAGTTTTCTCCTCCTCCTTGTTTTGTTGTTTGCATTGCTTTTGAGCTTGATTAATACAAACCAGTAGCTCCGTGGAGTAGGTAAGTTGCCGAACCACGTAAATTTGTGTGTGTTTGAATGTTTGGATCTCCTAACAACTTATGCTTTAAAACCTTTTGTTTTGCAACAAGTGCTTCTTTGCAGGCTGCATGATATATATCTATTGTTTGCTTCAGTTCATTCTTTAGTCTTCTAACCTCATCTTCATGGTCTTCCTGAAATTGTAATAAACATTCAGCTGAAAGAATACATGATTTTAAAACTAAAACAAATCAAGTATATCTCTCTTAAAAAGATTTGCAAAATTGCTAGCTAAGTACAACTCACTTTCTAACTCCTGTCCTTGCACAATTCTGGATTAAAAATGGATTCAAAGTTGAGTTTTGAAATTGTATGGGACTTGTTCAGCACAGTACTGACCTTGTTATGTTCCAATCATGGCTCTGTATGATTGTCCAAACTTTTGAATTCAGGAATAGGGCTAATTAAGCTCGACTGGAGATCTGGACCCTGAGTGTGATTCGAAGTCTCTTTCCTCCATATACAAGTCTTTTCCCAACTTTTCAGTTAGTTCAGCACCTCCCAGATTTTCATAAAAAGCAAAGAAACGAGGTGTCAGTGCTTGGCCTTTCGGAATTTCCAACTGGAATATCTGGGTGATCAGGTGAGAGCTCATCATACTAGCTTTCGGCTCCTCTACACAAATGATTATCAAATGTTAACAGCTATCTTATTTCATTGGAATTAGCATGTGGGGTATCCACCACCCTAGTTATAGTTTATAGAAATTGCAGAGACTATCTAGGCTGCAACTAACCAGAGGAATAAGGCAATTTGTGATATACGGTGGGCAGTTATGATGAAAACATACAGTTAGAATAATCATTGAAATAATTTTGAGCCCTGAGCTTACTTTTTCTTGTCAAATACTGGGAATCTCAAAATCTTGGTTTGTCAAAATCATTATGTATCAAAGGCTACCCCTTAGAACAATTCTAGAAATTTTTTATCTCAATATATATGATTTGGAATGGTATTTAGTCTTCGTGGGAACATGTAACTGAACACTCGGCAGTGTCCCTCCTGTTGCAGAACTAGCTGGGACTGGACGAGTTGCATTTCGCGAACCACTGACCTTTCCTTTCGAAACTACATATACAGTGCAGAAATTCGGTGCCCGTTTCAATACAGTGCCAGGAATCCTGTCTTGTGCTAGTTTTTGTCTTTCCATGAGCTGCTTAGCTAATGGTTTGTACGGGCTAGCTAAATTAACCATTTACATTTGCCACAAAGCCATCAATCACAATAACTAAGATAATTCCGATCCTTGTGAATCCATTTTATGTGACAAGTTTTCTTGCTATCCGTTGTGCTACCAAGGAAAGAGAAAAAAACAGTCCCCCACTGGCTAAGAGAGTGTTTGTTGGTGTATTGTGCGCGACGCATCTCAGAAATCATGTAATATAACACTAGCTTATTTAGTAATTTATAGAGATCATATTTCAATTAATTTGACTGTATATCTTTTCCATGGATGTTGCAAAAATAATCCATGATTTCCGCAATGTCAATAGAGAACAATCTCTTAATATGGAAATTATAGTAATATTTCTATTTATTTCCCTATATAATAGTAATGTAGAGAGGAAGGCATGCAAGTTGAAGACATTGCTAGCAAGAAGGGGAAAATGAAGACATGAAAATGAAAAAGAAAAAGAAAAAAGCGCATTGGCAATCCCACTGTCACTCCAACTTCCATCCTGCATTTACATCCACAAGAACTACTTTTTTGTACATGCATGCATTATCGTTCCCGTAGCTCTTCATTCAACTCCAAAAAAAAAAAAAAATATTTCTGACCCCCTCTAATAGATTAGAAATCCAGTATTTAACTCAACCATACTAGAAATATTTAAGAGAATGTGATGTCATCAGACTTTCCTATTGAAGATCTCATGTCTCCTTCACTAGCATATGAGGAGAAAAAATCATCATCACCATCTCTCTCTTTTATTTCTCCAATCCTCTCAGCAGCTTCCTTCAAGTCTATCCTCTTCTCCACATCCGCTTCACAACAACATAAACCAATCTTCAATAGCTTGATCGCCTCACTTTCACCACCACCATTTTGCTTTGTTAGCCCGTTGGTCATATCCTTATCAATCACCACATTAGTCCACTCTTCATGAGGAACAGAATTGACCCAATTTGCCAAATCTTCCTCCTCGCTTCCCTTGCCTCGCGGTACGAAATTTGCTGGCAACTTCGCTGATAAGATCTCAAGTATCAATATCCCTAGACTCCATACATCGGTCTTCTTGGTAATCCGGCCGTGATGCAAGTATTCAGGGGACTTATAGGCTACCATGAGCTCTTGAGCATTCTCTTGGTTGATCACAGGAACTAGTCCATAGTCGGTGAGCAAGGGCTCGTTGGATTGAGTGAGAAGAACATTGGAAGATTTAAGGTGGCCGTGGGCAGCAATTATGTTGGGAAGGTCTTTGTAGAGGTATGCAAGACCCCTTACTACTCCTTTGACAATCTTCAATCTGCTTGGCCAATCAAGGCTTGGTTGTCCTAGAGCTTGATGACCTGTAAGAAAAAAGATGGCAGCAGCACACATTATATGAATGGATGGAAAGAGAAACACAAGGAATGGTATGGGCGTTTGTGGAAGCACGCGTAGAGTGATTCTGTCCATCCAAGTATCCAACAATGGTGTAGCACACATCAATGGATGGAAAGCATCACCATGCGCGTTTGGCAACCGTCCAAGTTTTGTTCTGAAAACATACCATGAAGATGAACAGCTAGGCTGCCTTTCTCAACAAAGTCGGTAATCAAGAGCTTCTCTTCCTTTCTATAATAGTAAGCCACAAGAGGAAGTAAGTTAGAGTGCTTCAATCTCCCTAACCTCCTCATATGCTCTTGAAACTCTTCTTTCCCGACATTATTCATTTGCTTAAACCTCTTAACCACCATCATCGTCCCAGAGTTAAGCGCTGCTTTGTAAGAGGACCCGAAGCAACCGCTTCCTAATATCTCAGCCGAGGCCTTTAACAAGTCTGGCAAATCAAACTTCTCCCTATCATCCCTCACGAAGGACAGCTTTGGAGCTTCCCCTTTCTTGCTACCTACCGAGTGGTCTGGTGAGCTTGAAGGGCTTTGGTTTTCTTCCTTGAAACCCGTTTTCTTTTTGAGGTTTGATGGTATTGGTGGTGTTGGTGCTTCTATTGAGGCTGATGGTTGTCTTTGGCGTTGACGACGAAGGAACAAGAATGCTGCAACAATGGCACCCAGTAGCAATCCCACAACTGCAGCAATGATCACGATTAGTAGCACAGGTGGTTTCTTGGAGTCAGAGTTGCTGTTGATGGTATTACATTCCTTTAACGGCGGTCCACATAGACCTTTGTTGCCTGCTCAACCAAAAAAAGGTATGAATGTGTTCAAGTACTAGCAAATCATTTAGCATCGTTGCTAGAAATCTGAAAAATGGTACTAAAATCAATATTGTTGCGGTTAATTGACGTGCATAAGGTGTCAATTTTCTAAATATCTTCTTTAAGAGGGAAAATCAATGCCTGGCTCATTATTTTCAATTCTCAAAAAACTGAAGTAATGATGATTAGATATCCAACATCTCATATTAATCAATGACAACGGCAATAGAGGTTAATAGAAGCAACATATTGCTTGGTGCCATTAATGATAAGAGGGCAGCTCACCTGAAAAGGAGCTCGAGTCCATCTTACTGAGACCTGCGGGGATTAGCCCCTCCAATGCATTGTTTGACACACTGAATGAAAGAAGATTCTGAGTCAAATCTGGTAGCTGCCCAGTAAATTGGTTGCCTTCAAGCCTCAAATCCAAAAGCTTGGGCAGGGCAGTCAAAGACAAAGGAATGGCCCCAGTAAACTCATTTTGTGCTAAATACACTTTCTTCAGTTTCAACATGCCATCAAAAGCATCCAGTGGGATCACCCCTGAGAAATGGTTGTTGGAAAAATAAACCGCTCTCAATGAAACAATTTTCTTGAACTCTGGCATGGGACCATCGAAGTTATTGTTCATGATGCTGAGTGTTTTCAAATCTGGCAAAGCCTGTAGAGTTTCCACGTCAATCTTGCCAGCCAGCCCCATATTTTCAAGTTTTAAACCCCAAAGGATCCCGTCAACACAAATTACACCAGCCCAATTTGTTGAATTATCTTTTGTGCATGGTGTGGTCTTGTCACTCCAGTCAGACAATGCAGATGCGTTCGATAACGAACCTTTGAACTTAAGGAGGATTTCTGAGTCTGTCAGTCCCAAAGAGGCAACAAAATGGAGGGATACAAGTAGAAAGACAAGAACAAATGAGGGTTTATCTTTAAAAGCCATGATGCTACAGTGTGGTGGGACGCGCACTGGTGGAGGGGCATGCGCGCCCATTGCAGTCAGGAATGGCTTCAACAGAGGACTATAATGTTCGGTTGGGAGGGGGTGGAGAGGAAGCTTGGGAAGGTGGTGAAGTTTTGATGGCATAGGAAGAAAGAGAGGAGAGAGACAGAGAGGAAGAGACAATTGGTTTGCTAAGAATAGGAGAGGTTAGTATAGGCTGTCTTCAAAAAGCAAATGAAAGAAGGGTTGTGCATAAAGTTCTGACAAAGTCAAATCTCTTCGTTAGAATGGATGAGTGAGGTGTGGATTTAGATCAGAGATCTCCGGTCTGCCCTTGAATTGGATTCAAAGCTAAGCCCTTTCCTTGCCTATTTCTGTGTTCAGCTTCACTCCTTGTGTGATAACACATTTTTCCAATTATCTTCCTTCGAAATCCAAGCCTCCCCCCATATAAAATGGCTGCGCTGAAGAATTAAGCTGCAATTCCTGCGGGAGACAATTAGTTTTAGTTTCATTTTTCTTTTCTTTTAGTTCTAGAATTAACTGATATAGTTCACAAAACCAGCACCTACACCAAGTATAAAATCACCCTGTTTTCTATTTGGCATACTGAACAAAAAAACGATACCTGCTTATAGAAGTGTGTGTGTTAAACGTATAAACAAAGTTATGACATAACCAAATATGCAAACAATAGTATAAGTTTCTTTTCTCTTTTTCATTCTTATAGTCATTGGAAACAGAGCTTTTCATGTAGGATCACTCAAAATCCCAGTAGTCCTGAAGCTCATAGGTGCATGACACGTCCGCTAAGAAGGTGGCTAAAAGCAACAATTGTGTGAATTTGACATAACAATTGTGTGAATTTGACATAAGATATGCTCTAGGGAATGAGGCAGTTTTGTGGATCAAACTCGGTATATCCTAAATCAACAAGACATAGGCCATCTGGGGGTACCGGCGGAGCAGCGGCACGTCTACATGTAGCATCCATCGGCTTTAGCAGTGCATCCTCCTGTGCCCCTCATATGGGCACTTCATCGCACTCTCAAATCCATTCAGAGCACAAGACATAGCACAATTGTTCTTAAATCACTTCTATAAATTCCATGGATTACCGCAGTAATTGTTACCAACAGGAACAGAATTTTCACCAGTGTGTTTTGGAAAGAACTTTTCAATAAGTTGGGAGTTAGGATGTTGATGAGCACTGCCTACCATTCACAAACGGATGGGCAGACCGAGAGGGTGAACCAATGTTTAGAAACCTATCTTCGATGCATGACCATGCATCAGCCTAAACAATGGTTTCAATGGTTATCATTGGCACAATGGTGGTATAATTCAAGCCATCATTCAACCTTGGGCATGAGCCCTTTCCAAGCACTATATGGTTATGCTCCTCCTCAGAGAGAATGGTTGGCGCAGGAACCTACTCCAATAGTTGCAGTGGAAGCAGTGCTGCAGAAAAGGACCAACATGGATCATACACTGAAGCAGCAGCTACAGACAGCAAGGAACAGGATGAAGCAAATTGCTGATAAGAAAAGAACAGAAAGGGAATTCAAAGAGGGTGATTGGGTTTTTCTTAAATTGCAACCTTATAGACAAAACAGTGTGGCCGTTAGAAAAAACCTCAAGCTCAACCCCAGGTATTATGGTCCTTTTCAAATCAGCAAAAGGATTGGGATGGTGGCTTATGAGTTAAAGCTTCCAGAAGGAAGTTTGATTCATCTTGTATTTCACGTATCCTTACTAAAGAAGAAGATCGGAGATGCAACTATAGTATCGTCCAAGCTGCCAGTATCAAATAAGGAGGGGCAGATGCAAATCATGCCTTTAGCCATAATGGACAGGAAGTTGATGAAGAAAGGTAATAAAGCAGCCACTGCAGTTTTGGTTCAATGGTCCAACTTGTATCCAGAAGATGCGACTTGGGAGGATCTATCTGATCTACAGAAACAGTTCCCAGATTGCCAAGCAATTTTGGAAGCATCTTAATTGAGCATTCTTATGGACAAGAAAGCATTCAAGGAGACGGTATTGTTACAGCTAGAATAATAACAGTTACAGAATTATTCTGTTAGCAGTAACAGTTAGCAGTAACAGGATGCATGGCACGTGGAGTTAGTTAGAATCAGTTAGTTGTTAATTGTTAGTAAGCATGTAATGCATGACATACAGGTATAAAAAGGGGAAGTAGTTGACGTATATCCCACGCAAAGAATAATAAGAATTCATTCTTCAGAAATCTTAGTCTCTTCTTCTCCGTTTTCTTTCATTTTTTCAATCTTATTAAGCCAAGCTTAACAATTGGTATCAGAGCATGATAGAAAGCAACAAATTCAAGGCGGTTAATGAAAATTGCAAGAAGTTGGAGACTCAACTACAGAGCCAGCACCTAGAATGGCAAGAATCTATGGCAAAGAGTAAGGAACATTGGATGAAACAAGGCACCAAGATTGATCAGCTGGTTCTATAAATGGAAACAATACCCACACAGTTCCAACAATTCATTGCTTCTCAACCAGCGAGAAGAGACATTGGAACTAGTTCCAAATGCATTTTGACTACCCTAGGCACTGATAAAGAAATAGGAATACCAGTTTCAGCCGAGAGAATCGCTCCAGGACACAGGAATCAGTTTAGAGGTGAACAAATGATGGGGCAAGAACTTCCTAGGGTGGGGTACAACATACCATTGCCAAGGGTGGAGATGCCAACATTCAGAGGAGAGAATCCTCGGGGTTGGTTACAAAAATGTAAAAAGTATTTCAAGTTGAACTATACCTGCACATCAGTGGGTAGAAGTGGTCTCCTATTACTTAGAAGGCAAGGCAGATGTTTGGTTCGAAGGATTAGTAAGAGAGAATGAATCTTGGATGGACTGGGAAGAATTTTCACAAATTCTTTGCAGACGGTTTGGCAGCAGAGAGGATAGTATGGAAGAATTCAACAAACTGATCCAAGATAAGAGTGTGGATGAGTACATAGAGCGATTTGAGGAGTTAAGATCATTGATAAGTGCTTTGAATCCATCTCTGGCAGAAACTTATTACGTCTCTAGCTTCATTAGTGGGCTGAAGGAGGATATCAAACCAATGCTGAAAATCTTGAAACCTTCAAATGTGCTAATGGCATTTGAACAAGCTAGGTGGCAGGAAGAGTCTAACAATGCACTAACCAGGAGGTCTCGACCAGTGCAGCGCAATGGCATTATTTTCAACAATGGGAGAATGGCCAGCAATGCTCCAACCAGTATCTTTAATCCAAATCGGATGGAAAGGACAAGACCTCAATCAGATAGCCTATTTGAGCAGAGAAAGAGGTTGGGACAGTGCTTCAAGTATGGAGACAAGTACACTCCGAGGCACAGATGCAGTACTAAAGGTTTACATATGATTGAAGGAGTAGAGGAAGAAGAGGAGGAGGAAATCAAAGAACTAGAAGACACCATGCAAGATGAATGCAAAGAAAGGAGGTCAATAGATGAATTCGGATTATCACTAAATGCATTGGCAGAAAATGATACCTACAATACTATCAGGATCAAGGGAAACTATCAAGGCAGGGACCTTATAATTCTCATAGATAGTGGGAGTACCCATAATTTCATTGATGAAGGTGCAATTACAGAGTTAAATGTTGCCAAAAGTAAAACCACGTTACTAGTAGTCACTGTGGCTAATGGAAATGTTATATTATGTGAGATGCAAAGCCCTGGATTTACTTGGTTCATGCAGGGTTACGAATTTAAGGCCAACTTGAGGGTGCTGAAATTAGGCAGGCATGATGTAGTTCTTGGTGTGGATTGGTTGAAGCAGTATTCTTCAGTGCTCTTTGATTTCATCAGGCTGCGGTTGTCATTTAAAAAAAATGACAGGATGACCGAGCTAAAGGGAATAGTGCCTAGTTCTGACTTACACACGATAACAGCAATTAAGGAGCAGAACAGCTTCAAAGATGTGATTATAGGGGTAATTGGTCAATTTTTTGCTATGGATGTGGAAGGGGAAGAAAAGCCAACCAAGGCTGCGGTGGAAATTGAATCCTTGTTAAAGGAATTTGCAGGACTTTTTGAAGAACAATAAACTTTACCACCAGCAAGGAGGTTTGATCATAAAATCTTACTGAAAACTGGTTCCCAGGCTGTCAACATTCGACCATAAAAAAGTTCATTCATCTAGAAGGGTGAAATAGAGAAGTTAGTTAAGGAAATGTTTGGCAATGGAGTGATACAACATAGTGTTAGTCCGTTTGCCTCTCCAGTTTTGCTTATAAAAAAAAAGGATAACACATGACGATTCTGCATAGATTACCGACAGCTTAATGAGCAGACCATCAAAAACAAATTCCCTATTCCTCTTATAGATGATCTCCTTGATGAGATGCATGGTTCCAGGTTCTTTTCCAAGCTAGACCTGCGTTCAGGATATCACCAAGTCAGAATGCACGGGGAGGACATTGAGAAAACAGCATTTAGGACGCATCATGGGCATTACGAGTTTAGAGTCATGCCTTTTGGCCTCACAAATACCTCGGTCACCTTTCAAGCATTGATGAATAGCTTCTGGAACCCTTCTTGCGAAAATTCTTACTGGTCTTCTTTGATGATATCCTTATTTACAGCTCAACCTTTGAGCTTCACCTTGCTCACCTCAGGTAAGTGTTGGAGACGCTACAAGCTAACCAGTTATTCGCCAAGAGATCCAAGTATGCATTTGGGGAACAACAGGTAGAATACTTGGGGCATGTGATTTCCATCACAGGAGTGGCCACAGACAGGAAGAAGATTGAGGTTGTAGCCAATTGGCCCACTCCACAAACCTTGAAGGAATTGAGAGGGTTCCTTAGGTTGGCTGGTTATTACAGGAAATTCATCTAACATTTTGGAATCATCAGCAAACCCCTTACTGGCCTGCTGAAGAAAAACAATTATGGCTAGAGTATACAAGCTCAACAGGCATTCACAGTTTTGAAACAAGCCTTGTGTGAGGCCCCAGTCCTCACATTCCCTGACTTCCCAAAGCCATTCGTGCTGGAAACCGATGCCTGTGACTGTGGCTTGGGAGCTGTACTAAGCTAAGAGGGAAAACCAATAGCCTATTTCAGCAAGTCCTTAAGTTTGAAGCACTTGGGATTATCCATCTATGAAAAGGATTACCTGGTTATTCTTATGGCTGTAGAGAAATGGAGGCACTACCTAGAACAAGAACAATTCATCATACAAACTGATCATGAAAGCTTGAAATATTTGTTGGATCAAAAAATTCATACTCCAATTCAAAAGAAGGGCCTGACGAAATTGTTGGGATTGAGGTACAAGATATTGTACAGGAAGGGAAGAGAGAACATTATGGCTGACGCCTTGTCTAGGAAAAGCAGTAATGACCTGTCAGCTAAGAAGAATGGAGCCTTGGCAGCTATCACCAATATACTTCCTGCATGGTATGAAGATGTTTATGCATCCTATGAAAAGGACTGCAAGTTACAAGCTATTATTCTCAACAACTTGACAGGTGCAGCAACGGAACCCGACTTTACATACAAAGAGGGAATCCTGCAATACAAGGGCAGGATAGTAATTGGGCAAGGAGGGCATCTCAGAGCTCAACTAGTTAAATCTGTTCATGATTCATATGTTGGGAGACATGCTGGTGTTCAGAATAACTATAGAAGACTGAAGACAAACTTTCACTGGTATGGGATGAAGGCTATGGTTAAAAAAGTAGTGGAAGAATGTAATGTGTGTAGGTAGGCTAAAGTGGAGAGAGTGGCATATCTAGGACTATTACAGCTATTGCCGGTTCCTG